TGGTTTTCTGCTTTTGACCGGTTTTCATGCCATGAACTGTGTACATACACCGAGTTTGGAAGGTAACTGCCTGCATATCAACTTTATTCCTCTGACACATGATATTGGTACAGTTTGTAAATTTATTGATTCATAATGAAGCAGAGTAATTTTTCAGGTGAAAGCTGTGAAATTTGCCCTTAATTGCTTTCCAAATCCCTTTTATTATTTCGAAAATCATGAAACAAGACAGTGTAAAAAACTATGAATATCTCACCCCACCATTACCATCTGGATCTCGAAATACCCGGCTGAATACAAAAAATGTCGTTTACACCCGATCATTTCTCTTTTTCTGAATTATTTGAAGACATATTTTTCATTCAACGTTTTTGTGATAACAGTGTTATTCCTTCATTGTATCATATTTTATTTTCGAAACTTTATGATATATTTGCTACCGTCTCGAAAAAACTCATGAATTTGCATGCATTGAACACGAGGGCTAGAAAAAATACAAAGAAGGAAAGAATGGTCGCATATTTCTTTAGAAGCTATCCGAAATACTACGAGAGACTTTTAAAAACTGTCAGTGTTGAAATATATGAAACAAAAGCTTGAGGATGGGGACAACACACGGAGTCGAAATGACGCTTCCCGGACGTTGTAGGTAAATTCGATAAATTCACGATTCGATACGTTCACGATAAATTGTGAAATACATGTTTTAATTTTTAACATACTGTAATTAAATAAAAACGATCAAAAGTCACAAACTTACAAAATCCTGTCTTCAAAAACAAAGAAGTTACAAGGACATAAAGAGCATCAGGAGTCGAAATGATTCCTCTGGACGTTCTAGTGTTAATATTAATAAAATGAAACTGCATATGATTAGATGAAATGCATACTGTTGGAGAGAGAGGGGGGAAGGAAGAGGGGCTGAAAGAGAGAATTGACGAATCCTACATTTGGTAACTGTGCGAAATTAGCTCACAATCTGACTACGTGAGTTAAAGAACTGATTCTCTAACCTTGAACAACACTAAACGCACCGAGATTGGCGCACCCCACGTGCTACCACGGACTTATAGGTAATGTACAGGGTAGAGTAAAGAAATGCTATCTCAACGTGATGTTTAGATTTAGAACAATTCCAAGTGAATCTGGAATTATTCCCAGAAGAGCGATAGGTAGACATGCCGATGTTCACAGACACCGATAGGCGGTAGGGGATGTTCTAAGGTTTGAGTACCAACGGTGGCAGGGCTTTCGACACCATGTACATAGCTAGGTCGAATTCAGTCGCTATCTGGAAAAGACTTCTAGCGACCGGCTGCTCTGATCGGTAGTTTTTCGTGGTTTCTCCGATCAACATCAAGAGAATTCCAGAACACTTAAACCCACTTACATTGACATGGACTACATTACCACAAACGCCGAGAGACCAATCGATAACTTAGAGCTTGTTCCGGCTGGGGAAAAGGGTCCTGGTGGTGTGGGATACCACAAGGGGTGGAACCCAGCAGCGCAAGATCATCGCCAAATGCCACGATAAAAAACAGACACTACACTTACGGAACTAATGACCATAACATTTCACGCGCCCGGAATCTCTAATTAATCAATGGATAGTTGCCAGCCTGGAAATGAGTGTATCAAAAACGAAAAGGGTTAACTGTCTAAAAATAAAAGGGAACTAGTAAGAGAAAGTCTGTGCCATTTTGTAATATCACTAGATATATATGAAATAAAAAAGTTTTCCAATTATCATTTGAGCATTTTAAAGATACATTTAAAAGGTGACTGTACGTTTTCCATAAAATAAAATGCTTTCTTGAACAATTTAAATCGCAAAAATGCAAATTCAAAGAACAACCTACGAACATTTTATTAACATATAAGTTCCATTTACAATGAGAAGACGCTTGAATTGTCAAAAATTGTAGAAAATTCTCCCTGATGTTTTGACTGCATTCGTTATCAAACCACTAGCATAATAATATTGACTGACATCCATAATTTTTTTAAATTTTTGCGTTAAGTCGCGTATAAATTAAGCATTATCAATTACAAATACACTATATTTTAGCATTTTTAATATATTCAGTTTTGCTGAAACACTAGGAGGAATGAGCATTTCAAAAGTGGAATATTTGTTCGCTTTTTATTTGTACCAACATCTTTCAAAATAGTTCGTATCTTTTATTCTTTATTAGAGAAAACAAAAATAATACGACTATGCACGCATGCACGGGGGACAATATATGTATTATATGTATAAACGATATACATCATATGCACGCTGGACAAATAACTTTGAGACGCGGGACTAGAGGATCGTTACAAAATATCACTAGCTAAAATTCGCATCACGTTTGGTCACGAAAACATTCTAGTTACTGCTTAATTTGCAACTACATGCAATGTCGCAATAATGATGAAGAAAAATAGCAACAAGCACAGCTCACAACAAACCTTTTCTGAACGAGGTGCTATGAATATACCAATATGAGCACAGGAAAATTCCTTGTGACTTCATATTTTTCTACAGCAAAGCAAATAAGTATGAAAATCTAAACAAACATTGCAGAGAATTATACGCTAGGCAGAATAATTAGTTAAGAATGGCCCTAATCTAGATTTTTCGTTGTATCCCTCCCCATTCTAAGACAAATCACATACTATCGAGGAACATAACTTGCCCTTCCAACTTCAAAACGTTTTTCATTCATAGTGGCCAGTTGAACATAACTTTGTGAATCGATTACATAAATTCCATTGGATGCTGGCCTTAGGTTATAATTCTTCATAAAATGATTGCACTCGTGTTCCGTTTCGTTTACATTCTATTGCCTTGAGTTCCCGCTCTGATAGAACAAAGAAATGACTGCATTTCCTCATCAGCGCACGTAATCAAAAATAGTTTACTGTTAATTTACAATATGATAGTTCTGACAGAATCTATTATCCAGTCTCTGGAATCTAAGAATGGAAATTAGTAATTTTTAATACATATTCTTCTCATTACTATACATAAATAATTTAATGCAAACCACACGAATTCTCCGTATTTATACTGACCGCTGAAATTGAAGTTATCATTAAACTCAATAGAATTCAGAACAACTAGCCTTGTTGTTAACTTGCAATAAATAAAATGTTGCTTTAATTTTAGAAAAGAATGGCAGCCCACGACATTGAGTTTTACAAAGAATATTCTAGGTCCAATTTCATAAATTTTGCAAATAAATGAATATTACTATTCTGTACACAAAATTGGATCAACTATTCCTTTCACTTATAAATAAGAGTACCGTTGTAGTTAAATGTGAAAAATAACCTGGTTATTAAACAGTTGTAGAAAATCGCACGTCCTCTATACCAAATGGCATGACAATACGATTGATTGATTAGTGATTCCGAATGCGTCAACTGCTAAGGTCATTAGTACCGAAAACGTAGTGCTTGTTTTCCCCCGGGAGGTGGCGGTGATCTGCCCCCGTTGGATACGTATATCATGCCATCTGGTTTCCGCCTCTACATCCAGATAATCCGGCGCCGACCTCCCGTTCGCTAAAGGTTTTTTTTTTCCCAAGTAGGTGTCTCCCACGAATGGGACACCGCTCCAGCCGGGACAAGCTCTAAACTCCCGATCTGTCTCCCGATGAGTGTGGTAGTGTACTGCATGTGAGTGTGTGTAAGTAAGGAGGAGGATAAGACAAGTAAGAGGAAGGGAAGATAGCGCGCGTTCCGTGGCCCGTTTGTTACGGTGCTGCTCCGGCATTCGCCTGGTGTTAATCGGAGAAGCCTCGGAAAATTACTGATTAGAGCAGAACTAGAATTCTCCTACAGACAGCGACTGAATTCGACCTAGTTATGTAGGTAGTGTCAATAACTGCCACCCATCGGAGCTCGTGCCTAGGACCTCCGGGACAGAGACACTGTAGTGTCATCAATTGATGCCCTGAGCCACCTTTCCCAGTATGAAAATACGACGAAGTACGAACGAACCAAAGATGTCCACCGACTCTAATATCCCGTGTAAAGTAAATAAAGTTTCTGCAATAATTTGAAGAAAACGTATAATTCTGCAGGTTCTAATTGAACTAGAAACTCGTAAAAGTAAAGTTCAGGGAAATGTCCATCACGGAACAGTGTAACATACAGTGTACGTACATAACGATGCCATCTCCATCTGATTTCCGCTTCCACATTCAGATGGTCAACAGTAAAACATGAAATCTCAGGTGTTAGGCTATACAACGCGAAAATGACTCCTAAATTACTGTGAGCTACGAGCGACAAAAGAGTGTGAATAGAAAATAAAAGCAAATATTGCGCCTGAGTACCACATTAATGATAGTACCAGTTTACATTTCCTCATTGTGGCTTTCGTAATACTATTATGCACGCCTACGTTTTATTGTTTCTTGCTAATCGATTGTTACAAAGATTCTATTGAATGCAATTTTTTTAAAAATTCGAAATATGAAAAAGAGAAGTAGACTTATCTCAACACGAGATTTATCTCCATCACAAAATCTACAATGAACCCCACAACCCAATTTTCTATTGCGGAACTCAAATTGTCTTTCAGTTCATATTTTCTCGTGTATCTTCTAATGGACTTCCCACACTCAATTTCACATACTGCTCTTTAAATCGATGATCTACGACGTCGTATTTTCAATGAGACCGATAATAGTTAAATAACAGATGCTTGTCTGTGTGCTGATGACATACAACGAAAATTGAGTTTTCATGGTCAATTCAATACCACCACACCGATGAGTTTGTCCTAGGTCCGAAGATCTTACCACTACTATTTGTACCACTATACGTTGCATTAGGCCTCAATTGAACCATTTCTCTGTATATCAGCCCGTGAATCATGGTCATAGTCGCAAATTGTGGATGGAACGTGGACTAGGCCTTGCGCGCGCAGCCTACGTATCTCGCTCTAGACCTCACGAGATATCATAATCCCGGGCGGCAACTCTTCATCTCCCGCGCGAGAAGAGGGCGACGGTCGTGACGTCACGTGCACCCCGTCCCACCCCGTGGTTCCGTCGGGTTCCATCACGCCCCACGAGCCAGGGGGCGCCCCGCGCGAAGCCAGGCACGCCCCGGGCACGGCCGCACGACTCGACCGCCCCCACCGCAGCCGCCTCTACCTGCCGGCCCCGCGGTTTCCCCTCCGCGCCGCCGCCGCCGCCACCACCCACCACCACCACCCACCACCACCACCGCCGCCGCCGCTGCCGCCGCCGCCGCCGCCGCTACCGCCTCCGTCGCCTCCACGGCCGCGACTCAGCGCGAGGTCTCATATAACAAGCCCGCGCCGCCGTCTAGCCAGTGCACTGGAGGCGACTACCCGCGGCACCCGGCGAGGCGCAGGCAGCCACGGCGACTACTCAACGAGGTAAGACGGACGGCGTCGGCAACGACAGTTCCGCCGCTGCACTACTCGCGAGACGGCGACCTCGATACTGCGATCGGGAGCAGGTCGAGGTAACATGGGCTTTGACATTGCATTGCTGCATGGGGGTTGCGCTTTGGGGATTCTTCAAGTGCACAATGTCTGACACGGGGTGCGACTTTATCAACTAACAGGTGTTTTTCTTTTTGGAAGGTTGTGTAAATCATAAGAACAGATCACGGGAAAAGTCTTGTACGAAAACATAAACAGCGAAGTAGCATTGTTTTGTCAATCTTTGTCATAAGACATACACGTGTAGACTCCACAAATGATAAAGAACAGGTATGGAGTAAAGGTGTCTATCAGATGTGTTCAGCGTGTCAGTGAATTTCAACGTGAAAACTCTTAATTATTTACTGCAGACACGTAACGGGGACATATGCTAATGTGAATGATTCATGCATGTAATAATACACACCTTGCTATTATTGGATCAGGGTTTTTTTGTGTAATCCTTTCGTGGCACTAGTTTTCTCTAGCCCTGTGCCACGCTACCTGAAAAACATAAATATTTACTCTATTGCGAGAGGTTTGAGTGCAAAGGTGACTGCGCCCCCCTTTTCCACGATAGTGACACGCGCTCCTTCCTCGTAGTGGTGTGGGCAACTCAGAGTGCAAAGATAGGTGGAACCATCGCTCCAACCCTTCCTGCAGTCAGTCCACTAGCTAGGTTTTGCGAGCGTGAGCGAAACGTTGCAAATCGTTTCTTGCACCCACAAACTTTCAAACAACTTTCTCTCGGGTCAGATAGAATACAAAACGCGTAAAAATCTATTAATGTAGGAATCGCACAATCGAATAAGAAAAACGTAATTTATTATAAAATCTAATTATTAATTTTACCTTACTGATTTCGAATTATACTTTATCAGGCAGACATGAGTTTAATATCTACGTCCTCGAAAATATTAAATTTCTCATTTTGTAGAGACCAAAAAATTCGCATGAAAAAAACAACAACACAAAAACATGAATAAAATTATTTTTAACAAACTATTCGTTTTGCTGTCCCTGAAGAATTTGTTAAAGACTGAACTAGAGAAGATATTTTTTCCAAGAGAGAATTCAATTTTTTTTTTAATTAACGAATACAACGAAAAAATGTTCATTCTGCGTTAACATACTGATATTATTTTATCGAGAATTCTTTTTTGTAATTGTCAAAAGGATCAAAATGTATACCTAAAGAATGTCTATTAAAAAACCTTCGCTATGTAATATATCATGTGATAAAAGTGTGCCATTTCAATTAATAGACTTACGTGTAATATTCTGTACCTCAAGCAGGAGTTCAACAAAGTAACAGTACACATTGTTGTTTCTGGGCGATATACAGTTTCAGCAGTTTGTTCGTACCCATCCATTCGAGCGATCTCTCACGAGATGAGAACTTTTGTGTAAAAACAAAACAAAACTAAAAAAACAACGCATCATTCCTTGCTGTGCTTCAACGCAATTGCTCACAGTATTTTTCAAGAATACAAAGTAATAAACGCGGAAGATATTGACGGTATTGAGGTAACATCAATTCATGAATTTTAAGATGGAAAGCTAATAACTGATAAAACAGTTTTACACTGTAATAAATTGTTATTAAACAAATTGCAATTTAAGTCAAGTGTGAGTTTCCTATGCACGTTTGATAAAGTGGACTTTCATTTATTTATAGTTGCATCGACATCAGAGGTCATTAGCGAATCAAAACTGGTACATTGATATAACAATAATTAATACTTAGATGTTAATTAATAGAGGGTACAGAAATGGGTATAATACTTAGGTTTAACATTTTGACCTCGCTTAACTTCTTGTTCGATCTTAATATATTGTTTGGTCAATTTTGGTAGTGACTGTACGTTTAGTGTACTCAATAACCAGTCACGGACATTCAGATTAATACTTATATTCAAACATTCCTACTTCAATAGGTCAGAGCATATAATTGTGTACTACAGATACAACTTACATTGCTTGTATGCTTTTAAATTAAATATTAATGAATATCTTTATAAAATTTCAGAATTTGATGACTCTATCCTGACAGTTCTTTCATTGCTCATCCCCGAAAGGTAAATTCGCCCCCGGAGCGCCTGCGCGAGCGCGAGACGCGGGCGATGGCGGGAAACGAGGTCGTCAGGTGCCGCGCGCGCCTTATCGCCCGAGGACTGCCCGCCCTCCGCAACATTCGCGCGCGGGACGACGCGACGGCGCAGAGGCGTGCGTTCTGGGTCCGCGTCGGTCCACCTCAGGCTCGCGACTTATCAGTAGGGGCGGATTTTATTGAAACGTCATTTTTTTCTTCTTGCTTTCACTTTAGAAAAATTCCGTTTAGTATAGAAATTCATTTTATGGTATGACAAGGGAAACGTAATTTTTATTCGTAATTTTTGTTTTGTGCATTTTTCTGTCACTTTCGCTTTTTTCTATTTTTGCCATTTTTCTGTCATTTTTAATGCATTTTTTTGCCGATTTCATCGATTTTAATATAGTTTTAATGGTGCTTGCTTCAAATAATATTTACGAGATGCAACAAATGTTCTCCACAAAATTCCTGAGTACCTATACTTCGTAGCCTTCTCGATTTTTTGCGCTCAGAACTTGTTATGCCACCTATTGTGAGTATGTAATCTGTGACGCCTGTCAGTGTCATTGACGGTTCAGCTGATTTCGGGATAACTCAGGATATTTTATGGTAAAGAACAGTCCAAACAAAAAGTTTTATAGTTGAGTTCACTTGAACGAATACAAAAAGCCTCAGATTGCATCAGTAACGTATCCAACATCTTGAGTTATTAATCCGAACTGGTTTTAACCACCTTTTACGTCATTTTTCTTTGCTTTTGGGAAATTTTAAAAACATTATAAGAGCATTACATTGATAATTTTTGGTGAAGTCATCAAAATCCGCCCCCAACTTATCAAACATGGGAACAATGTGCCTGTTTCATTAGAATACAGTTTTTGATGGAGTTCATAGATTTTTATTTTGGTTATTTTGCCTTTGTCCAAGTCGTTTCCTTTGTCCCGGCTTACGAAAAAAGATAAATTAAAGAAATGAGCGTTGAGTGGATGGCATCTTTCTGAAATGTAGTTTAATAAGAAATACTGTGTTATCAAACAGGCCAAGCCATCGGAACTCTTAGTGTTCAGTTTTTGTCTTATATAGTTTTTCAGTAATACTCCTACATGTTATAATCTAAGACCTCGCGTGTAGTGTGTGAAACTGAATTCTTTTTTTCATTATAGAAGTGTGTAAAAATAAATTATTCGGTTTCGGCAACAGTTGTGTTGCAAGTAATTGTGTATAACAGTTTTTATAATAAACGATTGTAAGTACTGACATTTACAATAATTGTAATAATGAGATTATTACACTAATAATAGCCCGGTCGAAACTTGAATGAAAAGAATCCCGCTAGTTTTGCACTATCTGTCTTCCCTGAGCGTCAGCCCGGCGGAGCTCTTCAACCGGTTCGCCCGCCAGCCCGCGCGTCGTCGTCTGTTCGAATCCCGCGCCGTGACCTTCTTTGTGGCAGACGTCTGGCAGCGACGGCAACGGCGTCAGCCGAGCGGCAGGGTGGGGGGCGAGGGGAGGGAAGAGAAAGCCGGTAAGAGGGGAGAGGCTCGAGCTAAAGGGGGTTCCCAGTACCTTACGCTGTCGCTTGAGTAGACTCATATTTTTAGGTTTGAGTTGCGAAATATTCACGATACAGTTAACAATAAATATCTACTAGATTGTATTTCGTAAAATAAATATGTGCGGAGGGTATATTAATAGAAGACTTTGTAATAATAATTAAGAATACAGAGTTCTCTTATACGAATTCTTAAAATTAAATTTGATATTCAGAGTAATAAAAGTGTACAGTTAAGAAACGTCGGATTTAATTTTAGTATCATTGCTTGCAATATGAGATCTTTCACGAATTATTTAGTATTTCGCCTTTTTTTCTCGAAGTTTGGTTTTTTTTGAACCACATCAATATGTTTGGTCATGTAAAACTCTGGTTTCTAACCAAAACAACATAAAATAATACCTAAATCGAAAATATCTAAGGCACGTTTTTGGCAGAGTCCTTTGCGGCTTTTGTGGCTGTTCAGAACTATCCACTTACGGTGTTCCGAGAACAATGTTTAACGTAATACTAGGAAGTGATGTACTCATTTTGATTAATGCCTCTCGTAATTATAGGAAACAAAATGGGCGTAATTAGCGCATTTCACTTAAACTATAGTTTAAAAATAGTTTTAATTAAATATTGGAGATACAGAACATTTTTAATAATTTCGTGTTAATCCGGGAAAAGACAAAACATACCCGACAAACTTTTGAAGGTAGAACGTACATTCTGAAAAGCTTTCTTGTGCCTTTCAATACGTAGTCATTTAAAGGGATTACGCTTCTATTACACTAATCAACGCACTTTCCTAACAATCTGTTTCTACTTTTGATGCGGAAAGATTATAGTGAATGAACTTTTTTCCTGCGAGTTTGTCGATGCGAAACCAGAATATCTTCTCCCGACGAAGGCCTCCAGAACTCAAGGCCTCTCGCTGAAGAAACAAAAAGAAAAAAAACAACAACCGACGACGTTCTGACAAAGGTTCTTTAGGTTCTCTAGTATAACTAACGGTTCGTTGGTATAAAGACATTCTCGAAGTGACCACCATAAAAATTCCCTCGGCTGCGGCGTTTTCGATCGGTCGTTTGGACGACTTCTGTGAAGGTCAATACGTTACGCGGTTAAGGTGCGTATCTCGTGGTGGTCACGTTGTGGGCATGCGAAGCGAAGGCTCCGTCTTTCCGGTTGGGACCGGTCGGGTTTGCCATTAAACTTTCGCCGGCCGGCCCGCCGGCAGACCGTGGAACGGGTGGTGGCTGCGGTACACTCCGCGTCACGTGGAAATGAGCATTGCGAAAACAAGACTCACGCATCTGGCATCGCGCAAACTCGTCTGCACAATACATAATATTAAACTTAACCTACGAATGTACGAGTGATAGAGATTTTAGGTTTACTCCGCTGGTGTATCATTTAGCTGCTCGACTTCGTGTGTGCGGCTGTATTACTAGGTCGGTGGTGGTGGCAGCTGAAGCGGAGGAAGCCACACGTCCATCACGTGAACACTTTGTGACTGCCGTCGCCACCAACGTTCCGCCGGCAACCACCCACCGCAATGAGGCGCTCCTTCTAATGCCTGCAGTTTTACGACACGTTACTCGCGCTTTTACTCCTAGAAGTGCCGAGAAGATCACCATCACGACTGTCTTTAAAACTTCCTTGAGGTTCAGACAGAAGTTTACCATTATATTTACCAAGGGAAAAATAATCGGAATAGATCTACTAAACGAATACACACAAGTGTTCGATAGCATATTTCAACGGTGTTAAAAGGGATTACTCATTGTTCTACAGTTTCGTTCATAGCACATGACATTTTATACTTTTAGTTTTCTCCCAAAATTTCGATTGTTATTATCAAATCCTTAATAATCTTAATAACGAAATAAACCGTCAACAAAAATGTCATACAGTTGGCGAAGAGGAAGCTTCTACCGTGATGGAATTTCATTCAAGAAAAGGCAATTTATGGTGCAAACTATTAAGCATCTGGGATATCGATTCTAGAAAGGGGGAGAATGTTTAAACAGATGGATGAAATATGGTGTGCTGAAATTTAAGTGCTCTAGAAATATTAGTTGGGAAAATATAGGAAAACACAAATGATGACTCCTTGTAACTTCAACTTCATCGCTTTTCAATCAACATAGGGACTTCACAGTTGCCAGTTTTGAATAGCAGTGATACATTCTAAAACATATCGTACACTGAGTTCAGTGCTGCCACAATGCGAAACCAGTGATGCTACATCACATACTTTCTCGTCAAGTATTACAAAATGCAATAATACTCTTCGAACCCATGCATAAAATACGCACATTTGAATTACACTGTGTATGTTTTCATAGCGTATTTACCAGGGGGAGTTAGTTGCTAGTTTAGAATCGCCTCATCCACCCAACGCTCACCTCCACTAGTATTTCCAACCAACAGAACTATCTGATTACACTAGGCGAGATTTGCATTTGAGACCGTAGGTTTCTGTGAACTGGACATGACACCGCCGGATCTCTTTTTCATACACCCGGACAAATCCACAAAAAATACATAATCTTTAATTTTTGAAAATCCAAAATCTTTAATGATAATGGCCCTGTGCTGTAGAATTCAGGATGCTGTGTTGTTTCCTTACAAACCGTTTAAAGAAAAATGGAAACGTTGTGAGAACATCTTGTTGTGCAAACATCTATTTGTGCAAAATTCCCGTTTATATCCCAAAATTACGCGAAAATTACCCACCTTTTTAATAAAATGTCCAAGAAATGCTTTAAAGGTCTAATTTTGAATAATTTATTAAGAAAACTTCTCTAGCTTCAAGAATATGTTTGTAGGACATGATTAAAAAAACGAATAATAAGATTTTCGCTATATCAGTGATTTTAATAGAAATCTGACCACGACATATTTACACAATAGAAAGGTGATTTATAGAAAAAATATATTTTTTCTGCCTCACACCTGCTGAAAATAGTTTATTTTGAAAAGTGAAGCCACTTTATTAAAACGCGATAAGGACATTTTGTGCACTGTTGACGTGAGTAGGAGAGAAGTATCGGGTGAGGCCGTGAACTGGGAAATGGGACAGAAGACAATCGAAGGCCACGGTTCGCGGCGCGCGCTCTTGGCAGAGAGCCAGTGGGCGATTGGCGGGAACCCACGAGCGCGGCGGCGAATGGCAAGGAGCAGGGAGCAGGGGACGGGGGGCTGGACAAAAAATAATGTTGGGTACATGATATTACAATGATGAAAGCGTGAATACAGCAACAAAAAATCGTAATCTCAAGAAATAATTGCTATTTCTACAAAACATCTCCAGGTTCTTCTTGCGAAATTCTGCACTCTTAGAATTGGGCAGACATTCTCCCAGAATATAGTTACTTTTCATTTATCACAAGTTGATCTAGTTCAGAGCCAGAATTGTCGTTCTCTATAGCGACTCTGACTGGGAGGATCTAGGTTCGAGTCCCGTCGAAGGCGGATTTCGCCACACTTTTATCTATACAGTCAGTTCCAATTCAGTCGCTATCTGATGGAGAATTCTAACGGCAGGTTGCTTTGATCGATAGTTTTCCATGGTTTCTCTGATCAATTTTCACAAATCGATTTAATTTTAGGTCCCCATTCACCACTTGAAAGAACTGTGTTTTTCCTCGCTACCTTCCATCCGCAAATTCCAACTTTCATTGTTGTGTAGATCTTTCAAGACTCATATATTGGGTTGCTAATCCGTTTTTGATTGTGAGCAAGAAGTAAGTGATTACCACTTCTTCATGACGCATTCAAAGGAAGAAAATTTTATAAATTGCTTAAGACAAGAATGATACAATTAAAAATTATTTAATTCAAAAATTATTTAAATAAATAATAATGAAAACAAATGGTCAATTTAGAAAATAAAAACTCAAAGAGCTTTCTGCATTTGTGAACTCTGGAAAACTTCTCGTAACACACATCTCGTAAAATGTTTTAATGCTTTACACATGTGAGCGTAATAAAATATTTTCTATTTGGTCGCTATTTCTTATTATTAATGGATTGTTAGAGATGTTCTCATTTGTTCATTATAGTACAACATTGAATATTTGACATTAATTAGAAAAAAAGAAAAATGTTTCAGATAAATTAGATTAATTAATGCCTAACCATCTTTTTCTCTCAGAGTTAAGAGCACAATCTTTACAGTCATAATCTTTCCTCGTTCTGAAGTTCATATACCGCAGTAGCAGTGACCCTATCTTCCCAGAAACGTGTTGATCGCAAACCCAATATATAATAAACTCGGCGGGAAAACCCACCATTGCTCTAATTTACAAATGCGCAACTGTAAAGGAAAATAACGATTGAACGAGTCTTTCACAACTCTGTAATGATGCATAACTCGGCAAGGAGAGGGGGAAGAGGAGATTTCAACATGAAGCATCAAAGCCTTTGTCTTAAATTGAAATACAATTTTTACGATGATGAAAAATCTAGGCAATGAAAGTTATTTGAAGGTTTAATAAGTTAAAAAATTAAGAGCCCATTTCCTAGAATTGTGTATACATACATAATACACGTATGGTTTTACATAATATTATTTGTAGGTAATTTGTTTTATAATTCTGTTTCATTTGAAGGATTCGTGTTCTGGACGTTTTAAAAAAACCTTTCCTTACCCGTTTACGTCTTGCTGTTGGGATTTGATTCAGGATGCAAGCCGCCTAAGACAAACTCAGGTAGTCGTGGTATTCCCCGGGAAGACCGCGTTGATTTATCATCAAGGGAAACGTGACGAATCGTCCGTCCATATAAGGGTAGAGTATCCGATGTTATGGCATTTTGTTAGGTCTATGTAATTCGTCAGCCAATTCTTTGCGACTCGAGATTTGCTTGAATTATGGAAAATCAAATTGTTGTTTCTCTGTCAAGTATTACGGAGTAATTACTAGAGATGCGACATCGATGTCCATGTATTGGTAGAAACATCGATGTTTTAAACATCAATGTATTGTCGTTATTTTAACATCGATTTTTTGTGATCAATGTTGTTTTCTTTTCTAATAAATAGTTTCTGAATGGAAAAATTCCGAGGATCACAATATAGTTAAAGTAAAATATGAAATAACGCTTTTTGTACTACATTCAGCGACCAAACTCTCTCTCTCTCTCCCAGATGATCTCTTTCCATGCCCTTATATTCCCTCTTTCTTCATATTAATTTCGCTCATTGAGATGTGGTTAAATACGCTATTCCCCTAAGGTCTGCCCCTTGTTTTATCTTTATTCGGCGATTTAATAAACACGAACACATCAAATAAAATTTTAATGCACATGAATTTAATGTTAGAGGTTACTAAAGCAGTCTAAAATTACAGATGGTTTTCACTCGAAGTATTTTGAACATTGCCGTTTTGTTTTCGATGCCGCATCCCTAGTAATTACTATTCTTGCTGTCTGATATCGGAAAAACTTTTTGAAACTAGAAACCCTGAAGTTCAGAATAAAAATAGTTTGATCTACTTTATTATGTGTATTTTTTTAACCCAAAAGATAACGGCATTGCTATTGTAGTGCTCTTAATGTTTGATCCAGTTGACATTTATAATTGAGTAAAAATTGAGATCAAAGTCGAACGATAAAGTGGAGCAAGATATCTTTAATACGTACGAACATATAACTGCAGTGGTCTTTGAAGAGAGTAGTGCATGCACATGGGTGTCAAACCATGGGAAAAAAGCAGAAATGCGCAACGTAAGTTAACGCTATACGGCCGTTGCCACATATGGTGACAGCTGAAGAAGTGCATGATGGTTTTCGTGCTACTTGCGTAACCGAACAACGTCGGTGTCTCGTCTATAATTTGCGGGCGAAACCTAAACATGCTATTTAAGCAAACCCAGTACTTTTAATAATTATTATATTGATTTCAGTGAAGGGTGCGTCGTCGTTGGAAATAGAAATGTCCGCTACAACCTTTTACGTAACGTGTTGGAAACAATTAAATTCTTTGAGTCATGACATCATAATTATAGGTCTCGAATTACACGAGACGAACTCTTTAATCTTAAATGACGCACTCGCAAAGGCAATACCAAAATAACTCGATGGAAGAAGTGCGTCCAGCACAGTTTAATAATCAAATATAGCGTGTGAGTTTTACTCAACAGACTTTGCCAGAAGTCTTACATTCGTTTGTTTTTAGATTCACCGGATTTTCGGGTGTCTAAAAGTGTTGTTTTTTCTCTCTTTTTTCTTCTTTTTTTTTCTTAGTACCGAATTACACACTTCCACTTAACGATCGATTTCGCGAGTTCAACGCGCACATGCGTGGAGCGGTTCATCCGGTCCAGAAGCAGTTGCGCATGTGTGCGTTAAGGCGGGTCCGGATATGCGGCATTCGCGGAGCAGCGAGCTACTGCTCGCCGAATCCCGAACATTTTATGTGATCGGCGGCGAATGTTCGCTTTCTTTGATATGTCCAAAAACGCGACACGCGGTGGATAGGCGGTGGATAGGGCGAGCTCCGAATGTTAGACACTCAGCAAATAGCACCCTAATTGTGATTCGGCGAGCTGTTGCTCGCTACTCGCTGAATAATCATATGTGTGAATCCGCCTTTAGTTAAAACTTCCGAAAATCTTCGTGAAAAAGGAAGCTAATGAAGGAGACTTAAAGCGGCTCCACACATTCGGCATTCGCCGAGCAGCGAGCTACTGCTCGCCCAATCCCAAACAGCTGATGTGTTCGACGAATGTAGTCTCCTTTCGACGTGTCCTAAAGTTCGACAAACGATGGGTAGGGCAAATACCGAATGTTGGGCGCTCGGCGAATATCGAGCAACCCGTCTACACTACTTAGGATTCGGCGTATGCCGCATGTGTAGAGCCGCGTTTAAAATCGTCAGGAAGACACTCCTGACCCGAATCGCTGGTCGGTTGCGCTAGGTCACGGTGGAGTGCGGTCGCCCGCCTGCGCCCCACGAAGAGGCGCCGCAAATGACGCGCCGTTGGCGACGTCTTGTCGCGGCCCGCCGCGCCGCGCGCGCCGCTACGCATCCCCGCTAACGCGCGATTCACCGCGAGCCTCGCGCGAGCGCATGTTGGTCGGGAGGGTGGAGGGGGGAAGCCACTTGGGCCTGTGGCGGGCCAGAGTAGTGTGTGGTGGGCCGCGACTGCCGCGCAGCGGTGCATCTGCTGCCGGTGGCTCGAGGGCAGCGACTCGCGACAAGCGATTGACACTCTTACAGACAGTGGTGTCCTGAGGGTGGGGCACAAATGAGGCTCCGAAAATTTACACAAAGTATTTCATTTAATGCATTTCATTCAAAAGACAAATGTATTTAACTGTTATTGAAATATGATTCACTTAAAAATTTAATAATGATAATTAATAATAATAATAATAATACATAATACTAGTAATTATTATTATTATTATTATTATTATTATAAATAATAATAGTAATAATAATAATACGTAATAATAATATATTAATGGGAACATTTTTTCAAAAAATGGCTCCGTCATGCGCTTCCAATCGTCATGGGCTTCTAACGGGGCGGGTATCGACCCCCTGGGGTCGGTAGAATATTGAAGGAGGGCAATGATGGTTGCGGGAGTGTTCGATTGGCGAATAGGGCCGGCGACTGAACGATATAAATAAGATTCTCATGATTACAAAAATATAAATGAAGTTGATAAATAGCACAGGAACAAAAAAGGTGCAAGACCCAAAGACTAGACATATCTTTTTCTATGTATTTTGACGCGTTAAATCTGAATCCGAAATTTGAATTGCGCCACCACCCTCCAGGTGTTTTTAAATCGCAAAAAATCACCGTGGAATTATAGAATGTAATTGTGTTGTTATATTTTGCGACGTTAGACGTAGGATATGACAAAATGTTTTTCCTGTGTCTAATTGTTTTCTTACAGAGAAACATAATTATACTTGTTTGTTTTCAAAAACAAAAATCTAGTACAAAAATGAAACAAATCTAATAAACCACTTTTAAATCCTTTATTACTATACTTTGCCTAATTGTTATCTCTAAGTCATTAGTTATGTGTTATAATTATGATGCTTCCTGCATATTAAGAAAAAATGAAGGAGTTAAGAGGAATCTTTAAGACAAGAGTTGAAAATACGTGTAACTGGTTAAGTGAAAACAAGTATAATTGAACGATAAAATGTTGTAAATTAAGTGAACATATGAATGATGTTGCTTATATATTTGTACAACCTAAAAATTCGTTGAAGTTAATATGATAGACTAAGTGGAATTAATGTTATTATTAATACTATTAAATCAACGTAATGTAAAAAATAGCTTACGGCAGTTGCTGCCTGAAGTTTATGGCCAAACGTAATCGTTTCCTCTAGGTTTCTCCCTTTCTTAAACTATACAAAAGAATGTGATTTCCCCAAGAAAAATTATGTGGAAGGAAGTTGGATAGGAGGGGAAAGAAGTGCGACATGGATGCAATGCGTGTTTATTTTCTCTTTCAAGTATTTTCTTGCAATACCACAAATATATAATGTAATTTTGTTCTGAAGAATGAAGAACAATAGAAAGTGATCGATTGATACTTCCTTTATTTACAATGTCACAATTAGTTTCATTAAATTTGAAAATATTTAATCTAAGAACGAATGTAAAAATTATAGCTTTCAAGAAAAAATATAAGCTTATTTAATATTATGCAATATCATTCAATCAAGTACGCGCACGAATTTTAAAATTACATGAAAGTGCTTATTTACCTGTGACCATGCACATGACTTTGTGCTAGTCCAGGAAACATTGGAACAACCAACCATTAGTATCTGAAACATATCTCGCGAGAAGGAAGATTACATAGTCGAGCTGAGGGACCGAGTGTGTTAAACGTCGACTTCCGTCGCGTTGTAATATGACGTAAGTAGCTTTTACAACCCGATAACATTGTTCCACTTGGACCTTTCCTCCTCTGAGGCTGCATAACAAAAAAATGGCTGTTGAATGACAAAGTATTTAATAATAACATTAATCTGGCCAAGTAAATTGCAATTTTATTATAAAAATAGAACTCAAGTTTTTGTTTATATTTCTGATACTACTAATTTAATTTATGGATTTGTTAGTTACTTGAGTCACTGTATTTTATCTCCCATTTGCATAGCGGAAGAAATAGTATTCAGTATGATCTCTGCAAGTCCATATCACAAAACTATTTTTTATAATTTTACTTGTATCATATTTCCCTCTTGACACTCATTAAAAAAATTAAGCTCTTCATAATCCAGTATTTATAAAAGTAAAAGCTTATGAATGTGAGGTGGGAGGACGTCTTGATGTGAATATCCTATATTGAGATTTTAGGAGGTTAATTTTAATTCTCCATTTTTTTAGTCCAGTTCGTACCTGCGTAAATGTAGGTTTGTATGTCATCATACGCTTGGATGATATTAATATGTGAAGTGAAATTAGCGGCAACTGAAACATTTAAAAATATTTTAACAAAAATGTTTTGTGCGATCGCTTTGTCGGCAAGAAAAACTTAATTACACATACTACCAACGTTAACAGCCATCGCAGCGCCTTCAGCCGTCTTTAATTTCACGAGGCAGCGGAAGAGGGGGTGTTGCGTGCAGCCCGCGCCCGTAGACTCTGCCGCCGCTCCGCCAGCAAGAAAGAGCGCCACGCGGTTTTAATGGGCTTCCA